ATTTTTATCACGGAGGAAGAAGAACGGCAGGCACTAGCAAACTTGTTCCCATGTTGTAGGAACACTGCTGCATGTCTTAATAGATACAAATCTCTAAAACTGTATGAAGTTTCACGTCAATATGAATAGCAAAGATTAGTGAACTCAACCTGTCAGATATTAAAATCAGCTCTGCCAAGTGTTGCGCTACCCAGAATTCACTTCTTGCACGTTCTTTTTCATTTTTGTTTTCAGCTCCTTCTTCTCATCATTGTTGCTATTTTTATTATTAGTTTTGAGAAACTACCCATCTACTTTGCTGGCAGTCAAATCCTGAAGGTGCACAGCTCTGCTAGCCTTTGACCTTGCAATACCTGTCTGCTGGGGCAGCTGTTAGCATCCCCTGGAGTCAAAGAAGAGAAACGTATGTTTCAGCACCCACTTTGAAAAAGCCTTGAGCATTTTCTCACTCATAATGATGTCTTCAGCTGGAATGCCAGCACATTTCCACATCTTTTTGACAGGCAAGCAGACTATAAAATATACATAAAATTAAATAAACAGGACATTAACACAAAGGTTTCAAAATCTGATTACATTGCAGGGTTGGATTTTTTTTTTTTTTTTTTTTTTTTTTTTCAGAAATTATAAAACCATGCATTTGGGGGAAAAAAAGGAACTGCACAGCTCAAGAGAAATCATGAAGGATTAAGGATGGGGAGGTTTCCCTAAACTGTTAAATATCTCAGTCATATGTATACAGGCTTTGAAAATAGAGAAATCTTGTAGTTATGATTGATTGAGGTAACTGATTATCCACAGATATTTTAAGTGTTGAGACATTAAATTGTCAGCCATATCAGTTTGATTGCAGTAAAACATGAAAACATTGACTTTTGTCTAGTTAGAGAAATTTATTTTTCCCAGAATGACAATCCTTTAAGTAGAAACCAGGCAGCTTGCCAGCTCTCCATGTCATACATTGAAGTTTGCAAATGCAACCCATATTTTCAAATGTTTTTCAAGGTTCAATGGATGGTGCATAGGTCTTTGGCAAATAGTCTTGTAATAAACAGATTTCCATATACTGCTTCAATCTTCCTTAAGCCTGCTGTAGACTAGTATTTATTCATTACGAATAAATGAATGGCATAGGCGGTGGTTTGCATTCAAGGTGTATACGTATTCAGAGCTCTTCACTTATGTAAAACATTTCTCTAAAAGAAACAGTAACCCTCCTTGGACTGCAGCTATCGGAACAAGTTTGATTAATATGTTTTACAAGCCTGAAGTAAATGCTCATCATAACTGTCAGCAAGCTGACAGCTTTCAAAAAAGAGCCTTTGTTCCCGGAATGAGTAATTTGTGTGATCTTCTTTAAGATACCACACTCAAAACCTTAGAGGGAGAAGGTGTTACATTCAAGCGAATTCTGCTCAAAATGTGATTGCTGTTAAGTCTGCTTTGTATTCCGGATCCTTGATATGCACACAGTATTTGACAGGATAGCGACTTTTTTTATTATTATTATTTGTTGTTCTTGCTTGTCAGAACACCTGCGCTTTCTCATTAGGCAGAGGTGTACTCGACAAGTTTTGTACCTACATGCACAGGAGAGCCACTGCTACCTGGTGCCCTGCATCACTTTTGTGTTTCCTTGTGGTTTAATAGGTAAACCCTAGGTGCAGAGAATTACGGAATACCTTCATAATTACATTTAATTGACTGCAAGTGTAAAGAAGTAGACCTAAAGTTGGAGGACCACAGAGGAATGGTTAAGCTGTACTTTGAGAAGCAAAGGGAACAACTATTCCCCCTTTGGAGGAGTGTTAAATGTTTTCTCCTAACTGGGGTAGTAACACCTCTGCCACAACGAATTAGTCAGTGGCATGTTGTGTCTCCAGCATTAACGAGCAAGTACCTCAAGAACATGTCAACTGTTGAAAAATAAAACTGAGGTTACCCATTAGCGTGGGAAAATATTTCCTTTCTGACCTCCTCCGTCAAAAAGGTTACTGTACAGCATGAAGCATTAGGTTTGATTACTTTTAGATAGCCAAACTTTGCTCTCAGTTGTATAATTTCAAAGCTGGAAAAGAGCATTCAGCTTAAATAGTCACATATTTATCTGTTTATATGAGTAGCTACAGTGAATAATAACAATGAACTAATCCAACCCGTTTAAAAAATCCAGTCAAAATATTTGACTGAATAGTGATGGATTCCAGTTTTATTTCAAGCGAGATAGAGGAACTAATCTTTATTTCTGTCCATATATGTGCCTTTCTATTTTTTGTCTGTGGGTCTGTGTAGAGCAGAGAAGATTTGTCATTTGCCTACCTCCACTCAGCTAGTCTTCTCCTTTAGAGACTCAACCTCAGACTGAGGTCTGACAGCTTCCTTTGCTGTCCAACACGCTAAATAAAACCTATGTCCAAGGCGTATCACCCAAGTGGCAAAGTGAGGTGAATGAACCTGGATGTGATCCTACACCCAACAAGATGTGGTTAGTATGACAATATGACACTGAGACCTGTATTATCTACAGCTTTAGAGCACCAGAAAGCCTTATTTAGTTGTTGGTTGAGTTATTGCTGTTCTTTTAAATACGGGATTGAACACGAGCTAGCTCACTGCCCCTCACAAGCAGATCTTGCAAGGGTCCCCACTGGCACTGTTGACACCCTTGTAGACTCTATAGTCTGCTCCCACAGGACAAACCAGGAGAGTCAAGTTCAGTTTTGGGAATAGACACAGCCCTGGATTGGGCACGGACAGACAGACAAGTTGCTGTGTAGTGTGGAAACCTGGAAGGAGCTGGCAGAGACAGTCAGAGCTCGACGGCCATCTCAGGTGATGCAACAGCTTTCCACTGGCCAAATTAGTTTTACAGCCCCTCAAAGCAGCTTATTGACAATAGCTAGCTCTTACCTTCTCCTTCCCAGTCAGCTGTATGGACACATCCAGAGTATCACAGCAGAGGTGATTATCTATCCTAACCATTTGCTAGTACAATTTTAATTCACCTTCATGCTGGGGGGAGAGGGTCAATGCACTACAAATAATAAAATATTACCTGGTTTAATCCAAATTAGAAATCCATTCCTCCCTACACAGCAATTTATTTTCTTAAACATTCTTTTTAGAGTACCTTTATCATTAAATTATTGAAAGCCCAGGGATTCCTTTTTCCTTGCTCACTTTTACCTGTTTTGCCCTATTTCAGTTCCTTTTTGCAGGAGAGGCATTGTTTTAGTCCTTTCATGTTATTTTCCTCCAAGTCCTGCATTATCATCTTCTTTAGAAGTCAACAGTTTTCCCAGCACCAAAATGAGTCTGGATTTCCACACCATTTTTTAACTGAAACTCAAACCCCTGAAGTTAACAGTATCAGTGCCTTTCAATCACTAAAAAAGGGGATGGGGGGTGTGTTATATATTATTACTACTATCTTAAAAAGACAATGTATATTCCCATCTATACATACTGTACTTAACACTAGACTCAGAAATCTGGAGGGAAATCATTCAGTCCTGGTAATTTGCTATTACTGAATCCCTCAAATTGCTCCATCGTTTTCACGCCATACATCAGCCTGTTAAGGCCACATTTTTATTTCCTGTGAAAAGTGACCTTGGAATGGAATTTAGAAACAAAAATACATTAAAAGAGTGAGGGAAATGATTCGTGAGAAAAGGGTTAAGTTCTGAGTATTGATAAGTGTTGATATTGAGGAGATATAATAAAAACCTGTAAATATTTGAAAGCCTTTGCCAGTAATCATGAAGAAAAAAAAAAATTACTGACTTTGTCATTAAAATATTTATCCTGATGTATCTATCTTATTGGAGAAAATGAGCTCAGTATTTCAGACACTGTGGTTTGGTAACTGGCCTTAATTTTAAATCTTTAATCACAATCACTGTAACATAGTCAACTGAGATAATGGGGTGAAAATATGAAAAAGAAAATAGAAGGATATGTCCGGAAATTTTATGTGAAAGTATAATCCAATGAATTATACTGTAGCATCTCAGATTAATTTACAGAATCCTCATTAACTAGATAAAACTCCAGTGAAATATATGGTCAGAAGCAGTTTTCCTTTGACATGGGGATTAATGAAGTAGAGAAAGGAAGAAATAAAGAAACAGGAGAATTCAAAATCTGACCTGGCTGTTCCCTCTCTTTAGCACATGGTACTGTCTACACATGTACCACTACACTAGTAATTAATTTAATAATATGATATCTGTTCTAGAGATCTCTGGATATTTTTATTTCTCGTAGCTTCTTTGAAGTTTTGTTCTTAACTGCTCCTGGACCATCAGTGTATGCTCTAATCTATTTATGTTACCTGGCAGAGTTTCAGCTCTCAAAATTTTTGCAGTCTTGACATCTCACCTTAACTTTATACTTTCCTAAACTCAAATTAAGACAAATAAAGCTGAAGCAGGATCGTTTCCAACTGCTTTGAGGGAAACATGAAGACATAGAATTTATGACCAGCTTACCCTATATATATGGCCTTCATTTGGTTATAAACTGAAAGTTTATAACCAAATGAAGTTGGCCCTGCCAACCCAAACCATTCCATGATTCTATATTTTATTATTCAGTTAAGGGAATATCTTGTGCTACTATAATTTCCTCTGCTTGTCATGACATAATGTTAACTAGTTGGTGCTGCAAAAGGGTTAATTACAACTGAATAGTGTCTTTCTCAATTAAATAGGCACTAGCAAAAGGCCAACCTTTTGATTAACAGTCCTGAAAATTTTTCCTTCTGAACTTCAGCTGGTCCACAACAACTCGTAACGTTACCTGCAGAACAGATCCCTCCTCGGGTTTCCATGACCCAGCTGTGACAGCTGGAAAACACCAAACATGTGGCACTGTCTGCAACTGTGCCACCAGGAAGTTTTGTCTCTTTTGGTTAAAACGGATGGATGGGTTTGGTCATAGTTTCAAAAGGATGTGTTCGAGTTTGCAACATCCTTTTATCCATCAAGTTTTCTTACCTTGTGTCTTGGAAGGAGGAGGATGCCTGCTCTCTGCCCATTTTGCTCTTGCACTTTCTAGAGTCACAATCCTGGTCACCTAAAGATAAACAAGAAACAGAGAGTTTCCATTGCCTTCATCTTTTTGTGTGTGTGTAACTGTTCAATCTAGCCATTTTCTGGCCCTGTGTTATCTCATAGCTATAGGACAAACTGACAGTTTCTCCTAGAAGAATCTGCATGACCAACAAAGATGAAAAAAAGTAATATGGACATTTCCAGCAGTGGGAATGGTTCTCTGGTTCTCTGTAACAATTCCTTTTTTTTTTTTCCTTTGAAAATGTAAATCAGCATCATTATATTCTGAAGGTACAATTTTAATTTTTTTTTAACAAAAATCAAAATTAAATAGTCTATAAATTTAATCTTTTTTCTTTCCCCAAATCTTAGGCAAAAAATTGTGCTAACATTGAAACAGGTAATAAATTTCAGTACTTCTTTACATATACTACTTTCAGTTATTTTTCTACATTAAATGTCATCAATGCTTTTTATGATATTATTTAAAAAATAAAGCATCCAATTTATCAGGCAAGATATCTGTTCCAGGTTTTAAAGCACAAAGAGGAATTCAGAAAAAACTTAGAAAACTAAGGTGGTATTCTGCTTTTCATTCTAGTAGAAGACCTGGGGTTTAGGTGTAAAGCTAAGGAGGAGCAATTATTCTCTCCCATAAACATCTTCCAGTTTAGCACTTTGTTATTATTATCATCCTATCATGTGTGTAAATAGAACATATTAAATAAACTCACAAAGAACAATTTCCAGAAATAAAAATGGTTTTGGTTTTTTTTTAACCTTTTCCAAACTTCATGACCTGCTCCATAAAATATAGGCTTTTTCAGGAGCTAGATCTCAGCCTCCCCTTTCCTTTGTCTCTGGTGTAACCTTTGCTGAAACAGTCCCACTGCCCACTGATTAATATTTTCTTTAATACCACTTTGTACCTGCAACCAGTACAGAGGCACAGCAAATTGAGCAGGTAGACATGCAATCCAGTTATTGATTGGTACAGGGAATTAACCATTTGCTAATAGATGGGTTGTTCATCTGACACTTTATATTAAATTTGTGTATTTGTAAAGTAAATACTTATATACATTGTTCATGTAATTTATTACATGTGTCCATGTGTGTGAAATATATGAAGGTTATTTATGGTCTGTGTCAAAAGGTTATGAACAAATTGAATTTATGGAGAGGGATCACTATTCCCTTGTGATCACAGCAGTAGTTGTTTTACTTGTTTCTAAAAAAAATAGAGACCAGCCTTATCCTGTTTGGTGTTCACTGAAACCAATGGCTCATATGTTTCCAGCAGTGGTTCTTTAAACTAACCGAGGTTATCCGGCCCTAAAACTTAAATGCTACACTTATATGGCCCAATTTAAATGCCTCTTTGCAAATGCATGTAGCATGGGGAATAAACAAGAGGAGCTCAAGATGTGCACATGCCAGCAGGGCAAAGATCTCAGTGGCCTCATGGAAATGTGGTGGGATGGCTCCTGTGTCTGGAGTGTGGGGATGGGAGGGTACAGGTTCTTTAGGAAGGACAAACATGGGGAGAAGAGAAGCAGGGGTCTCTCTCTATGTCAGTGACCAGCTGGAGTCCAGGGAGCTCTGCATGGAACAGACCTTGGCCTCTTCAGGGCTCTGCTTGGCAGAGTCCCATGGGATAAATCCCTGGAGGGAAGAGGGACCCAGAAAAGCTGGTTGATATTCAAGGATAATCATCTCCAAGCTCAGGAGCGATGCATCCCTGCGAAGAGGAAGTCAGGTAAGAACACCAGGAGGTTGCATTGATGCAAAAGGAGTTCCTGGACAAGCTCAAACAGAAGAAGGAAGCCTATGGGGGGTGGAAGCAAGGACAGGGATCCTGGGAAGGATACGGAGAAACTGTCTGGGCAGCCAGGGATCAGGTTAGGAAGGTCAAAGCCCTGATAGAATTACTCCTGGTCAGGGACAACAAGGGCAGCAAGAAAAGCTTCTATAGGTAAGTTGGTGATAAAAGAAAGACTAGGGAAAATGTGGGCCCTCTGAAGAAGGAAACAGGAGACCTGGTTACCCAGGTTATAGAGAAGGCTGAGGTACTCAGTGATTATTTTGCCTCAGTCTTCACTGGCAAGGACTCCAGCTACACCACCCAAAACACAGAAGACAAAGGTGGTGACTGGGAGAAGGGACCACCCACTGTAGGAGATCAGGTTCAAGACCATCTAAAGAACATGAAGGTTCACAGGTTCATGAGACCTGATGAGATGCATCTGTGGGTCCTGAAGGAACTGGTGGAGGAAGTGGCTGAGCCACTATCCATCAGCTCTGAGAAGTTACGGCAGCCCAGTGAAGTTCTCAGTGACTGGAAAAGAGGAAACATATAAAAAGAGGACCCAGGGAACTACAGGCCTGTCAGTCTCACCTCTGTGCCCAGTAAGATCATGGAGCAGATCCTCCTGGAAACTACTCTGAGGCACAGGGAAAATAGAAGTGGTTGCTAACAGCCAACATGGCTTTACTAAGGGCAAATCATGCCTGATGAATTTGGTGGCCTTCTACAACAGGGTTACAGTGCTGGTAGAAAAAGGAAGAGCAACTGCCGTCATCTACCTGAACTTCTGCTAACCGTTTGACACCGTCCCACACAGCATCCTTGTCTTTAAACTGGAGACACATGGATGTGACGGATGGAGCACTCAGAGGATAAGGAATTGGCTGGATGGTTGCACTCCAACAGTTTTAGGCAACAACTCAATGTCCAAGTGGAGGGCAGTGACAAGTGGCGTTCCTCGAGGGTCGGGGTTGGGCCTGACACTGTTTAACATCTCTGTTGGTGACAGGGGCAGTGGGATCGATGCACCCTCAGCAAGTTCACCCCCGACCCCGAGCTGTGTGGTGGGGGGCACGCTGAGGGCAGGGGTGGCACCCAGAGGGACCTGGGCAGGCTGGAGAGGGGGGACCGGGCAAACCTCATGGGGGTCAACAAGGCCAAGGGCAAGGTCCTGCCCGTGGGTCGGGGCGATCCCCAGCACAGACCCAGGCTGGGCCCTCGAGGAGCGGCTGGAGAGCAGCCCCGAGGAGAGGGGCTGGGGGGGCTGGGGGGGGGAAAACTGCCCGTGAGGCAGCCCCGTGCGCTGGCAGCCCAGAACCCACCCGTGCCCTGGGCTGCAGCCAGAGCAGGGGGGGCAGCAGGGCCAGGGAGGGGATTCTCCCCCTCTGCTCCGCTCTGGGGAGACCCCCCTGCAGTGCTGGGGCCAGCTCGGGGGCCCCCAACAGCAGAAGGACCCGGAGCTGCTCGAGCGGGGCCAGAGGAGGCCACGGAGATGCTGGGGGGGCTGGAGCAGCTCCCCTGGGGGGCCGGGCTGAGAGAGTTGGGGGGGTTCAGCCTGGAGAAGAGAAGGCTCCGGGGGGACCCTGAGAGTGGCCTCCCGGGGCTTAAAGGGGGGGCAGGAGAGGAGGGGGGGGGACTCTGGATCCGGGGGTGAGGGTAGGATGAGGGGTGATGGTTTTAAACTGCCAGAGGGCAGATTTAGGTGAGCTCTAAGGCAGAAATTGTTCCCTGTGTGGGGGGTGAGGCGCTGTCCCAGGGTGCCCAGAGCAGCTGTGGGTGCCCCCTCCCTGGAAGGGTTCAAGGCCAGGTTGGACGGGGCTGGGAGCCCCCTGGGCTGGGGGAAGGGGGCCCTGCCCGGGGCAGGGGGGGCACTGGGGGGGCTTTGAGGTCCTTCCCAACCCAAACCATTCCATGATTCTATGAAAACAGACTAGGAGATGTTGCAACGTGTTGCAAATTATTAAGGGGAAGTAACTTCCACCTGCAGACCACAGGTTGCAGCACCACCCACGTGTGACCAATGTTTCCACTTACAGGAGACAATCACCTGGAAATCTGCAGGTCTCTCCTTATCGTCTGGTTCTGCTGTAAGGAGTTCTCTGTGGACAAATGCGGTGTCCTATGATAAATGCTTTGATGCTCATGTTTTGAGAGAAAGACAGAAGTATTCTGTTCAGCAAACATTTTTCTCCTTCTGGGCCAAATTCTGGAGTGCATCCTTGAGCCGAGTAGAATAGCTGTTGGGTAATACACAAAGTCATTTGACAGCACAAGACAACATCGGTTCCTATGATGAATATAATCATCAATTTAGGGCAGAGAAGTAATAAGTTTCTTCTCAGATAATTTTCTTTCCACCCCTTTGGTATGCCAGGAAAATGACAGACCCTCAGCAGACTACCAATCACCATTTTAATAACTCTGATACTCATCAATGAAAGGAAATACGAATGTTACCAATAATTATAATTGTACTAGATGTCTGGAAAGATAATTTTTATCAAGCTATGCACGAAGCTTTTTCTGTTGAAGTTCTGGCCATTTCAATAGCTTTTTCTTTGTATTTGCATCCCATCACATTCTGCTACTCTTTGTGATGGGTCAAATGTGCTAATACTCTTTTCACATTAAAAGTTGCTTTCAAAGAAGTACTGGCATGTTTTCTCTGTATTTTTTCCACTAAATTTTAGCAAGTCTTCTGTAGGACATGTTAACAGTCCCTTGGTTTGTTACTGCAGATTTTGGTTAATCAATATATTAAAACATAGAGGAAAATTATCTATTTCAAAATTATTTGTTAATTATTATATGTTTAGGATTTAAACAGGATTTTAACATTTGGGTCTAAAAATTCAGATGCTTTACTATACTTTGATATGTTTATTTTTACAGAAATTTTGAAATTAAGTTAGAATGATTCTTTTCATTTTATAATCAAGACACATGGTTTTAACTAGCCTGTAGCCTCATTTATTGCACGGTAATTACAGACAATGCAATAGCTTAGAATATTTACATAAGCTAGTCAGACACAGTAAACAATCAGCAAAAACTTCAATAACATCAGATTAAATCTTGAAGTTATTAATTCATTTTTAGTTAGTACTTACATGTATAAACATTTGGAGGAGCGATTGCAAAGAGTAGGTGATGACCTCAAGATTTCACCCAGCACTAATAGATTTAGTCTGACGTTCCTTCTTTGCTGTTAGACACTAAATGATCCCATCATCAATTAACATGAATGTTTGCTTTAATACAGTTCTTTTATCACTGAAGTTTTAAGATATTTCCTTGAACTACGGATATTTTAGTGGTTTAATCTCCTAATAAGTATTAAATATAACTTCATAATATAGATTATCAGACTGACTGGGTTTAATAAACTTAATTTGTTGAAAAAATACAATTACTTCTTTTTTAATCAGAGCTTGAGTCCATGAAGAGGGGAAATTAACTTTCTACATATGGTCAAATCCCTATTTCTCCAATTCAGAGAAAATTACTGTTCAACACAGACTTGCCCAAGCGAGGGATGAATAGTGATTTGACTGTGGTAAATATAGCACCCAGAAAAATTATGTGTTTTCCTGATGTTACTATCAAGACAGTTACTAATCAACATTGTGCTTCATACTAAATTGGCTTTGCCAGAGCATGCTAATGTTCATAAGCTATCGGTATCCAATTTGTCCTATTTGTAAAGAACAAGGCAAAACCAATTCTCAGTTACTAAAATTCAACTTCTTTTTCTTTTTCCTTTTTTTTTTTTTTAGTTTTCCAGAAGTTAAGGCATGAGGCTGTTTGTATCTCAGCTACCAGATGCATATATGACCAAATTAGAAGTAGGAATTTTTTTACTCTGATGTTTATGTGATAAATTACTATTCAAGAAGTGCACAAGAGCAGAGATCTTCCAATGAAGAATCTCTGAGATGAGATGTGTGGGTTGGTACCAGGTCAAAATAGTTGCTAATCAGAAGGCCCCAAGGATAAGTTTTCTAACAGAAACCCTAAATTTATTTGAGGACCAGTGTCTATCACCATCCATTACATTTATACCAGAGCTTTACAGAGAGGAATTTTGTCACAGAAAGCCATTAGTAATTTTTATCATGAATATGAGTTTGATTATGGTTCTAAAATTTTTCTTATCCTTTGGGGTTTTTTTTAACATATGATGAATATATAAGGTCCGTACCTGGTTATTTAACTCCAGTCTCTCTAACATGTAAATCTCCAGGCTGCAGGTGGATTGCAAAGGGATTTTGGCAATGTATTTAACATACTGAGAAAACCCATTTTTCCTGCTAATATTTTCCATTCTAAGTCAGTCTCGTGCCAATGTTTGTGGTGACTGTCACAAAAATGCAGGGAATAGGCTGATGAGAGATCCTTTAGAAATCAAACCATATGAAGAATTTTATTAAAATGCATTGTATACTGACTCGAGTTCTCTATTGTTCCTCACATTACACATCTGCTGCAATGTGGGTCTGAAATTACCAAAGCTGAACTTTGGTAATTTCTATGTCAACATGGTTATAATGAGTAATGGCTATGTCAACATGGGCAGCTTATCCCACGCTCCAACCCCAAATGCTTGCAGCCCCACCCAGGTGTCTCTTGGACCCTTCAAAATGTGAAACTGATGTTTGAGTTTTGGCCCTCTGAGAGAGTTGGACAGTCCTCAGGATGTGAGCCCTTGTACTCTGCGTGGTATCCCTTGGCTGTCAAAAACTGCCAAGACTCATGTCCAACTAAAGCAAGTAAATTGCCATCGCTGGGAGATGGTGTATTGCTATTTCTTCTGGACAAAGAGTTAAACTGTTTGCAAACAGCACTGCCCTGGTACTCAAGGTCCTGGCTCAGGCAGAGAATTCAACTGATCACACATGGCGTTTCTCCTACCTCTTCTTCCCGTGGCTCACAGCTGGCACAGGCAGCAAACTAAACTGGTTTTAGATAGCACATTTTTCACAAAAATTAAGTTCATGTTCTATAACAGTACTCCAGACTATTTTTTTCCTGAAAGCTTGTCATTTTAAAATCCCTCATATATATATATATAAGAGATCATATACATATTATATAAACATATATAATATGTACATATTATTATAGACACATTATAATATAATATATAATAATATAATAATATAATATATTATCTATGCATATATACAATATATCATATACAAATATTATTATATACATATATATTTAAAACATATATATGTACATATATGTACATGTGTGCATGTCTGTGTATGTTCTCCTCTAAAGGACAATACAAAAGCCTTGTCATCATTTTGCTACGGGGATAGAAGCGGGAGAGAAAGTGTCTTAGTAACACCTGGAATATCACCTGCCATCTGGAGAATCTCAACCCACACGGGAGATGTAAGATTTGGACACAAATTTCTGGTGTGTGATCCCAGACCTCAAGCTCAGTCAGCGGCATGTTGTGTAGTTTTAGCCAGTATTTTACACCCATTTGGCATCAGTATAAAGGCCTACACATGGTGTGGAGCAATAGGGAATTATTAGTCCCACCAAGCTTAATAAAATCTCAGGGAGGGGAAAAAGTCATAGTTCATTTGTGGAGCCTTGAGATAAGTTTTTTATCACTTAAAAATGTTCTGGGATGTGCCAGTATGAAACAAAAGAGCTCCAGTACGGCCAAGAGGGAAGTACACAACACAAATAAAAACATATGGAGACATTTAGAAACAAGATAAAATTTGTCTTCCATAAACCCCCAAATACACAGTCCTCTGTTCTTCCTGCAGCTCGCAAGGAAAGGGTGGTTCTGGATTTTCTCTCCAGATGGATTGCTCAGCAGCATTTTCCCATTCCATCACTTCTTCCAAAACTGCCGTGTTATCCTGCTTTCTCTAACACCTGCTACAAAATATTTCACTCTCGTTCTGTCTCACTCAAGGTACAGGGGGAAAAGAACACTGGCACCATCAAAGGTTGTGCCCAAGACTGCAACTGACACTTCCAAAGCAATCCATCCCCACTGCCCTTGCGTTACTCGCAGAAGGGTGTTTGGTTCATGGACACCATCCAAGGAACAGCAGCAGCAGCACACGTGCTGACACCTCAGATTCGGTGTAAACGGATGAACTTGTGGGATTCCCCTGGCCAGCCTTTCTTTTATGATTTTCTCTGTCATGATATGTGATGTTTTGAAGATTGAGTGCTGCTGCTGTTGCACACGAGTAGCCTGTGGCAATGGGTGAGGAGGAGGCTTTTCCAAGCCTCACACAAGGAAATGCATTAAAAATGTAAACCACGCTAGCTGTCACATATTTGTGTGTTCAGGTGGCTTATTGGGATGTAGCCTATTGTGACACTGCAAAATCTATTACGTACATCTGTGGTTGGTTAATGTCATACAGCTTTCATTAAACATGTGTTGGCCAAGGTTCTCCTGTCCTTCCAGATTCAGTTTGGCTCATGTGGGGCACAAATCTCAGTCTAGATCCTTCTTTGTCCTACTCTTTGTCAAGAACAGACGAGCCTGGAAGCTGTTTTATCCCACCTTTAGGTAGCAGGGTCTCCAAAGACCCAGCAACGAGCTTGGAATTGGCACAGCTTTGTGTCTACCCATGCAGGGGCCAAACGACGTGTTCCAAAAAGGTTCACATTCAAAATGTTGTGTGACAGAAAAGAAAGGGACATAACAGCTGCTGAATATGCTGTCTGAAATGATCCTCCATGGCCTGACTTCCACTATGAGCACTAGGTAAGAACAATGCAAAAGCAATGCAAAGTGCCTGGTGTGCCCCTTAGGTGCTGCCTCCTTATCCTAAGCCATTAATTCAAGTATGAATTAGAGCAGAAAAAAAGGAAAAGGAAAAGTAAAAAATAATAAATAAATAGATAGATAGATAGATAAATAAATAAATAAATAAATAAATAAAAGTGGAAAAAGAATGAAGGAAAAAGATTAAAAAATAAAAAAATAAAAAAATAAAAGAGAGAGAGAAAAAAAAGAGAAAAGAAGAAAAAAATAAAAAAGAATATTTCAGTTTGAAGGGACCTACAACAATCATGTAGTCCAAATTCCTGGCTGCTTCAGGGTTGACCAAAAGTTAAAGGATATTATTAAGGGTGTTGTCTAAATGCCTCTTAAACGCTTTCAGGCATGAAGCATCAACAACCTCTCTAGTTCCAGTTCCAGTTCCATGAGACCGACTTAGAATGGAAAATATTAGCAGGAAAAATG